TGAGACTCCAACTCAAAAAAAAAAAAAAAAAAGATAGTACTAGTGAAAAGGAACATTTTGATAGACTAACCTTCCTTCTTTGCAATTTAATTGCCTTGGCATTTATAGAAAATAAATTTTGAAGTTAATTGACTATCATCTTGATAATAAAAATAGAGTTAAGTTTTTTATAATATATTTTGGAGGTTTATTTTATGTAAAAATTAATTGTAAACTAGAGATGCATCCAAAGAGAAAACAAGATACTTATTTAAATTTTTATATAAATAGTAGCTTATATAGGCCTATTATATGTTCTTTCCCATTTATTTATTTGGGCTTAGAAGAAGCTGAGTGATGGTACAATCTGAATGCCACTTTAGATTTCACTAGGAATCAGCACACAATTCATTGATGTACTATTTAATGCAAGTACAAGAAACTGAGCAGAAATATTGAAAATGAAGGGTATTCTCTTTTTTAATCTTATGAGTGGCCCTTTTCAGAGTATAGGTTGAGCATCCTGAATTCTAAATCTGAAACTTTTTGAGTACAAACATGATACTGAAAGAAGTGCTCATTGGAGTGTTTCAGATTTCCAGATTTGGAATGCTCACTCGCTAATTATAATGCAAATATTACAAAATCCAAAACGCTCTGGTCCCAAACATTTCAAATAAGGGGTACTCAACCTCTATGGTTTTATTTCAGCAGGTTTTAGCTGAATGCAGAAACTAATACCATCACCAATGCTGATTTATTTTGCAAGCTTTCACAATTTTAAGAGAGAAAAAATAATCATGATTTATTCAATTGTCTTTATTTAATATACATTATTTGTAGATCAGGTGGATTTTTTTCATCATTGTTGATCTTGTTTCTTTTAAGTAGTTTGTTGACCTTATATAATTTCTTTTTTTTTAACCTTACATAATTTATAATTTCTTAAAGTATTTGTTTTACTTAGGGTACAGCTTTAAAAGCTCATTTGGATTGTTTTAAAACCCCAAACCAAGACTGCTGATTTTAGGATGGCAGAATCAAGACATTTGTGCCCTCCTCTATCTTAAATTACCCTGAACAGTTAAGAAAAATGAGAGTCAGAGATGTAATTGCATCTTTACTGAGATTAGAAGACTATAACCCCAAATCAAAATACTGGAAAAGTGGTTGCTACATGTAAGCTGAAAGAAGTTGAAAGAGAACGCTGGTAGAAAGAGATCTCAGGACTGGCAGAGCAAAGAGATGAATCTTCTGCTTACCGTGGGCTCAGGATGCATGGAAAGACAGTGGGAGTTTCCTTGGACTAATAGGCAACATGAACTAGCAAGAAAAGCATATGAAGAAGCACATAGATACACCATCTTTGCAGGAAGCACTCTCTTGCTGAGGCAAAGTAGAGGGGAGATTACAAGTGGCCCTTTGCTGCGAGTCTCTGACATCTGAAAGAAGTAGTTTAAACTTTCTCTCACACATACATTCTCTGTCTTTCTTACATATATCGGGGATGCCAAAAAAAATGTATAAATACATTCTAAGAGATGTTATCTATGTATTACTTTTAATTTGCCATAATCAGAAGTTGTCTGGACGTTGATGGTAACCACTTAGAGCACCTCTTGTAATTGCAGAAGTCAAACGTGACCTGTATTCATCTTTTGTTACTGGTATATATTGAATGTTACAATTTTTAAACAGTTTTTTCCTTTCTTTAAATGTGTATACTTTTTTTGGCACCCTCTGTATACATATACAAAAGATTCTCATAAAGATCTTTCCTGTATACCAGGGAGGCCACCTTCTAATCTAAAACACACTCTTGTTTCTTCCTTCGATAGTCACCCTTGTTTCTTCCTTCCATAGTCCTTCTGCAAGCAACTGATTTGGGGGGAGCTCAAGTCATTCAAAGATTAATAATAAAAAGGAAATTAGCACAGTATCTGCAGAAATAAATGCTGCAAAGAGAACAGAAAACAAGTGACAAAGAGCTCATAAGAAAAGTGTATTGGCCTAACAAATTTAATGAAACAGCCACCATAAAATAAGAGACAAAGTTAATTGACTCAAGAGCTAGGATGAAATAGTAAGATAACAGTACATGGTGAGTCGTAATCTGTCAGAGCTAAGGAAAGGAAAAAAAAGACAAAATCAAGGGAAGTAAAGATCACCTTGGAAGGGAGATTAATGTTGAAAACTCAGTAAAGGACATGATGACATGCTTTTGAAAGTTGAACAAAGTGAAATGGGAACGAAGGAAAATAAATGCTTAATTGTAGTTCTGGAAATAAAGAGTTCAATGTTATAGCAGAAAAAAAATTCAAATATATAACTTAAAAAAGCTTTTCACAAAGAAAATAAATATTCTACAATTGAAAGGACACAATGATTGAAGAAAACCTAGTATACAGTCCTCAACATCCTTATAAAACCTAGTTTGTTTTTTAAAATTTGACTTCAAAGGTAAGGAATCCTTTGCTCATCCATGAAAAAGATCAAATTACCTATGAGGGGAAGGGTGGGTTGGGAAATGGGATATTGTTTTTGTTTTTGTTTTGGGGGGGGTTTTTTGAGTTGGAGTCTCACTCTGTCGCCCAGACTGGAGTGCAGTGGCCGTTCCCGGCCACCGCAGCCTCTACCAGCTGGACTCCAGCGATCCTTCTGCCTCAGCCTCCCGAGTAGCCGGAATTACAGGCATGCACTGCCACGCCCGGCTGATTTTTTTGATTTATTGTAGAGATGAGGTCTCGCTGCCCAGGCGGGTCCCGAACCCGTGGGCTCAGGCAATCCACTCACCTCAGCCTCCCAAAGGCGCAGGGTTACAGGCTGAGCCACCGAGCCCGGCTAGAAATGGGATATTGTCACGGGAGTATTTAGCATCATAGGACAATGGTAGAAAGTCATCAGCAGAAAGAGTGATCTCAAAGCCAAACTGTTAACTGACAACTTTTTGTTGTTGTTGTCTGTTGGCTGCCCCTATGTTTTCTTTTTTTTCTTTTGATTTTTTTTTTTTAAAGATGTGGGGTACAATTCAGGGTTAGGTATACAAATGTTCATTATGCAGGTACCCTTGTTGATGAGGTGTACCCCCCCAGGAAGATTCCTACTACTACCAGTCCCGCTTCACCACTCCCCTCCCAGCAGTTTCCTGCTACTGTCAATCCTTTTCTTATAGTATTGCGATAATTGTTCAAGGTCTGCTTATAAGTGAGAACATGTGATACTCAGTTCTTTGTTTCGGTGAAAGATCACTCAGTATTATATTACATTTTGAACAATGTAAAAACTAAAGGTAAGTAATACCCATACGTTCTTTTTGATAAACTGCAAGGAAACAAATATCAGGCATCCAACAGATGAACGGAAATGATACAGAAAAAGGATCGTCAGGGAACGGTGTAGAAATAGGAACAGAACAACTGTGAGATTTGTAGTTGTGAAATAGAACTATAACAAAGTAGAAATAACTAATAAAAGGATTGAAAGAGGAGAGAAGGCAGAAGATAGTATAAATTTTCTGATTTTTAAGTTTTGTTTTATATCTGGAGAACAAAGGATATATAAAGCTTAGACATCAAGTAATAGAGGTATTTAGTATATTTGATGGAATAAAGATAAGTGCTTGAAGAGCTAAACATTTAAACCAAAATCAAACAGTAGAGAGAACGTAGGAAGAAGTAGAACAATATTAAATTTCTTATCCTAAAGAAATAATCAGAGATAAGACCTACAATGAAAGAACAAAATGTTTATTATTCTTTACACTTGCAAAAAACCTGAAAGCATACATGGGGCATATATAAAAACGGACCATATCCTAACTCACAAAAACTCAAAAGACAACAAACAGCTATCATACAGACCATGTTTTTTGACCCAAAACGTTCTCAATTTCTGCTTTGTAAGTAGTTCTCAATATAGTCAGCAGCAGCAATATCACCTGGGAACTTTGTCAGAAATGCCAATTTGCAGGTCACAAATACCGAATGTACTGAATCAGAAACTCTAGAGGAGACGCACCTCTCAATCTCTGTTGGTCAGCTTTTATAAATATCCTATTTATGTTTTCAGTTATTTGCAATTGTAGAGATTACTATGATAAACACTTTTGTTCTTTCATCTTTGGTCTTGTATCTGATTATTTCTTTAGGATAGAAAATTGCTAGGTCAAACAGTATTCATTTTGTGGAACTTTGGGTAGCTTTGTTCTGTTGTTGGTTGTTAGAGGTGAAAAATTAAAAATAGTTTTTTGTCTCTTTAGAAATATCTTTTTTATTCACAGAAAACAAAGTTATCTCCCTATCTAAAAAGATGAAAACGACTGGGTTACTTTCAAAAGGCAACCAAGTGATCACCGCAAACTAATGAGTAGAATCAATAAGAACGTGATTTTGGCCCTTTTAACATTGACAAGTTCTGCATTTCTGCTGTTTCAGTTGTACTACTACAAGCACTATTTATCAACAAAGGTAATTTTGTTTCCTTCTTTCTCATCAGACTTCATTTTAGCTGTATATTTTCTTAACACACTTCTCCTTTGCAATACATAAAATTAATCACAGTTATTCAAATTTTTGCAGAAATATTTCAAAGATGAGATTCTCATCTTTGTGATGTGTGGCAAGCAATTCAAAATTACAGTTAAATGTTACTGTAATAACATTAAAGACAAAGGTGCCAAGTTTCAGTGAAGTTTAATCTATCGAAATTTTCTGATATAGTTACTTAAAAATTGTTATTTTGCTAAAAAGATTATTCTTCATTTAAATGTACTCAACAATAAATAATTTTGATAAAATATCAAGATTTGTTTATTTTGTTACAGTATATGTTTTAATTTACTACCTACCAGGAAAGTGTAATGATATGACTCACCTTTATCTCTATCTATAGGAATAAAGAAGTAGAGACAATGGTTTGGGGAAAAAATCTCTTTTAAAGATCCAACAGAATATACTTTTTTAGTTCAGATAAGGAATTTCAAAGTTGAGAAGGTATTGTTGCATTGTGGACAGTTGCTAGCCACTCTCACTGGGGGTTATTATTATAATAACTGCTGTTATTAAGAATTGTACTTAGATGCTTTCTGTGCTTGGTTTAACCCTAAAAACAACCATGGAATAAAAATGAGGCTTCGGGTTTTTTTTCTTTTATTCTTATTTTTTACTCAGAACTAGTTAATAACTTCAGAATTGGTTATTTCTCTCTCTGTCCACCACTAAAGGGGAGTATGTATCCCTGCTCTATTGATGTTGGGTTTGACCATGAGACTTGCTTTAGCCAGTACAATGTTAATAGATATATGCAGAGTCGTCACATGGGCAGTTGTGCTTTGACTTGCCCTTCATGCTCTCCTGATCTGCAGGAAAAGAGAAGAATATCTTGGGTGGATCCTGCTCTTCCAGCCTGAGCCGCGAATAAGATGTATAGAGCAGATCAAAGCATAGCTGCTCCAGCTGATATAGATCTGTGAGGAAGGAAATAAGATTGGGAGAGATTTGTTATGCAGCATTGTTTCCTGAGGTTATTAGACTATTTTTATAGATGAGAAAACTTAAACTCTTAACAGAGATGTTAGGTAATTTACCTACCCAAACTACCCAGTTTCTCACATGCAGAGCTTAACATTTATACCTGGCTCCATTCTTTCCAGGCTATATAATTTTAAAAATAATAAGAAGTACAGGTGCTACCCACTGTCTTGACTGTTTATCCAAGCAATATCTTTGTGTGACATCTTTAACTCTTCGTGGTTTTTTCCTTAGGATAAAGTTCTAGAATAGAATTTTTTGGTCTAATATACACATTTTAGATTCTGCTATATATTGCAAAGTTATCCTTCTTGAGGACAAGTAGTATGCCTGACTGTCTTTTCCAAATATGAGAATAATAATATCAATAGTAATGACAGCTGTATCCATTAGAGATGCTTTTGGCTGACTAATAGCTTAAACAAGTAGAGAGACTATTTGTCTCATATCTGTAAGCCCAGAATCTCCAAAATTCTCTTAGCATTTTTCTTGTGCTACAATCAAGTCTGGAAGAAGATATAGTGTGATCTAGCAGGCTTCTACTTTTGTGACATTGGCCACCAGATTCCAAGCTACAGTAGAATCTGGGAAAGTAAGATTTTATTATTGTTGTTGTTATTTAACTTTTTCAGCCTCTATAATAGAGACTGCAAAGGAGAAGGAGTTTGGGAATGGGTATAATGTCTGCCATAGCATTTTTTTTTTTACATGCTTGATTGAGTAGGCACTATGCTAAGTATGCACTTTACATACATTTAATTCTTCTTCTTTTTTTTTTTGAGTTGTGGTCTCATTCTGTTGCCCAGGCTGGAGTGCAGTGATATGATCATGACGATCACAGCTCATGGCAACCTCGACCTCCTAGGCTCAGGCAGTCCTTCCAGTTCAACATCCCGAGTAGTTGGAACTACAGGTGCACACCACCACACCGGCTAATTTTTTGGTTTTTTGTAGAGACAAGGTTCTACTATGTTGCCCAGACTGATCTCAAACTCTTGGGCTTAAGCAATCCCCCTCCCTCTCGGCCTCCCATGTGCTAGCATTACAGGCATGAGCCACTGTACCCGACACATACATTTAATTCTTACAACAAACAGAATAGATCCTGTTGTCCCCATATTCCCAGAAAAAATACTGAGATTTGGAAAATGTATCTGTCCAATGTTACACAGTTAAGTCTTGAGCTAGAATTTGAACCTGAGGAGTCTACGCCAGAACCCTTATTCTTTAATATTTAGTGTTTTTGATATCTAAAGCTGACAGATATTTAACTCCATTAGAGGTAATTTCTTTGATTCCTAATGGATTAAACATCTTTACATATGTTTATTGTTTCTTCTTAGTTTTCTTTAATTCTTATTTCTTCTTATTTATATCCTTCACAGATTCTTCTAATGATATTGTCTTTTTCCGTTCTCTGTAGTTTAAAGAATATTAAATAAATCTTTATCATCATATGTACTTAAAATATTTCTTCTGGTTTGTAATTTGCCTTTTAACTTTAAATTCATGGTGTATCTCTGCTAATTTATGATGCATGCATTAGTATTTCATTTTTAGGTAGATGTCAAGATCTTTTTTCTTTAGGGCATCTGGTTTTTATGTTATAGGTAGCCCAGGACTATGGAAATATTTAACTTTTATTATACTTTATGTTTAATTTTTAAACTGAATACAATTTAATATGAGCTAAATATTAGATATCTAACTTATATTTTTCCCCAGTAGTTAAGCAATTTGGCCCAATATTCCTTATTGAATTACCCCATTGATATAAAAGTCCCATCTTAACTATATATTAAATTCCAATAAATAACTGCTGTATTGGCCCTTTCCCCTTGGTGGCAATGTTGCATAGGTTGAGGCTGCGGTGGCCGGGAGCGGCCACTGCACTCCAGTCTGGGTGACAGAGTGAGACTCCAACTCAAAAAAATAAATAAATAAAAATAAAATCTTTATCTTTCATGATAGGAAATACAATAGATAATACATTTTATGGTTGAATTATGTCCCCAGAAAAACATATTGGAGTCCTAACACCCAATGCCTTATAATGTGACCTTATTTAAAAATAGAGTTATTAGCCCGCAGGTTTGAGACCCGCCTGGGCAGCGAGACCTCATCTCTACAATAAATCAAAAAATCAGCCGGGCGTGGTAGCGCATGCCTGTAATTCCGGCTACTTGGAAGGCTGAGGCAGAAGGATCGCCGGAGCCCAGCAGGTCGAGGCTGCGGTGGCCAGGAGCGGCCACTGCACTCTAGTCTGGGTGACAGAGTGAGACTCCAACTCAAAAAAAAAAAAGATCATGAACTCCAATGTAGGATTCCACTTCATCTGTACTACGTATTAGCTGTGAGATCTTTAGTATATTGCTTGACTTCCAAATGCCTCTATTTTCTCATCTGCAAAAAAAGGGCAGTAACAGTACCACCTCATAAACTTGTGAAGCTTAAATTAATTAATACACACCAAACATTTGAAAGTGTGCATGTTACATCAGTAAATGTTAGCTATTGTATTTGTAGTATTTTCAATTTTATAATGAAAAATAGTATTTGTTGTATTATGTCCATGGTATACCAACTGCCTTAGTCATAGTGCCATATTCATGAAAGAAAATACAATATTTTGAATAGAAGTAAGCTAATGTTTTAAAATTTCAGTTAACCTTTTGTATACCATTATATACGTAAAGTTTATGTTATCCATGCTAGAGTTCCTGTTTTTTATGTCTACTGTTAATAATAGGTAGAAATTATAACATCTAAATTCTAAAATATCAATGGTTATTTTTGTTTTATTGAAATACACAGAAATTGTACTATTCCTAGCCAAGTCATTTTGCATCCTATAAAATGGAATTTTAAATTTTACTCATTAATTCAGACACCTTTTTCCCAAAAACTTTTATTTTAAAGTCACTATTTGTAGAGTATTTTGCCATGGTTATAGAAACAATAAACAAGATGATTTCTTCCTGCTATATATCTGTAATTTAATTTGGGACAGATGCCAGTGGGAGTGTGGATGCTTCCTGCATGTTATTAGTGTGAAAATAAGATACTCTCTGTAAGAAGTACAAGTAGTTTCTCTATGCGAGCAGGGGGAAAATGCTTTATTTAAAAATAGTAAGGACAGGCCTGTAATCCCAGTGCTTTGGGAAGCCAAGGCAAGAGGATCACTTGAGACCAGGAGATTGAAACCAGTCTGGGAACATAGTGGGACCCCATCTTTCAAAAAAAAAAAAAAAAATTAACCAGGCATGGCAGCATGCTCCTGTGGTCCCAGCTACTTAGGAGCCTGAGGTGGGGAGCCCAGGAGTTTGAGGCTTCAGTGAGGTATGATCACCACTGTATTTCCCCTGGGGAACAGAGCAAGATCCTGTCTAAAAATAAAATAAAGCATAGTTATAAAATCAAATAGATAAAGTAATTAGATGCTGAAGCTACTAACTTTAAAAATTTTTTGTTTCCTTGTAGAAATATTTAAATTTGGGGTTTCTTACTAAACTTACAGACTTCACTTATTTACAGTGTTTTTGAACTCAAATTTTAAGGAAGCATAGGTGCATCCTCAGTGTTCTAATACATTTTCTCTGGACATAGGACGAGAACTCGAAATTTTGTTAACTTTGTTTACTGGTTGTATCTGAATTGCATTCCTCATTTGTTCAGTGAGCAGTTTTGTGGGATATTCTTAGATAAAGTATATTCACACAAATAAAAATTATTTCTAGTTAAATTAAATTTGTTTGATTTGTTAGTTGAAAAGTACAGAACAGTAGTCTTAATCAGTATGAAATTATAGGTTAGCATTATCAGCAAACCTATAATTTAATAGTAAACATAAAAAACAAGAGTTCTAACATGGATAACAAACTTTACATATATAATGGTATGCAAAAGGTTAACTAAAATTTAATAAAATTAGCTTACTT